GTAAGGGCTTTTACAGAGATTAGAAGGGGTCTAGGATGAAAAACATTAATCGTGTCCTGGGGTACAAACTGAAGATCTAAGCCATGTTTAAGCCACAGAGGTCTCTTCCTTCACTAATGTCATCTGCAAAGACCCCATGTCCATCGGCCATAACCATGTTCTGGGATGAAGTGAATTCTGAGCATGCTTTAAAATTCACTCACCTCCCACCACACTGTTGCTCTGGCAGGCATCATCTCCTCCAACCCTGCCTGTATCTTCACCCACTTCCTCCCTTCGGCTCACACTATATTTTCCTGACCATCTGTCCTTTGCCTGAGCTCAGAAAGGCACAGCCTGTTCAAGCAGACTGGCCTGGGGTGGATCAAATGGACAAGGGCCAGAGAAGCCTTAGGAAGGGTTCCGGCATGCTGCCGGCCTGGCTTAAGTCCACACTACACTTGTCAATCAGCGGCTCCTCCCTATGCCTGCCTTTCCCTGCCACCTCAACAATGGAAATGACCCAGAGAGCCATGTGGCAGGATGGACAGCTGGGTCAAAGCCACAGTCTCATGTTAGTGTCTGTTAACGTTCAGGGTTGGAACAGTGTGGGTGAGCTCTGAACTTGTGGCTAAAAATGGAATTCGTCCTCTCTGCTGTGGGCAAGCTGCCCTCCTCAGCAGGCTTCAGGGTTCTCATCGGCAAAATAGGATGCTGTCGGTGTGCCAAGATCCCATGAGGTTTCTGCAGCAGTGGTGGAAGGTCATATTGCAAGTGGGAAATGAGATCTGGTTGCACGGGAGCCATTGACATTCTATATGTACAGAGCTGGCTCATGAGTTCGGGGATATCCAGAAGGCAATTTTGATTTCCCTATGCCTGAATTCTACTCATACACAGTGGCAGTCACCAAAATAGAAAGGAATTAGGCCAGGAGTCTGATTATTGAATTTGCTGCATTTGAAATGTGCATTATGTAATCTTATTTTGACAAGGAGGCTGAACAGGGCTAAGGGTTGTGAGACTGCCTCCAGCAGAGACATGGAAGAAAACAGTTGGATATTGGAAGATAGGCTGTTATTGGAGATGGCATTTAAAGCATTGTAATTAGTGTTTAGAACAATGATAGACACAATAGGGATAGAAGATGTGTAGCTGTATCATTTGAAGGAGTTGATTCTCAGAGTGGTCCCAGAAGACTCTGAGATATGAGAGCATGGTCCCACCACAGTCCTCAAAAGTTGAGGCTGTGGTGGATTCCACAGGCCATGTGTCCATAAATCCTTAAAGTCCCTAGTGTCTAGATGAGAGCTCCCTAGACATCAATGGTTGGCAGTGGGGATCTATGCTTTCTCCATGGAAACTGACTCCCAGGGTTTCCCCCAGGAGGCAAGTAGTAGCGTCAGAAAATACAAACCCCTGCAGGACATCAAAAGAAAACAATTGCCTATGTACTCCACAACCTAGTCTTTCCATCCAGGTCTTCATGGACAGGTGCCTAATTCTGGCCCGACTGCCCACCAAGCATTCAGTCCACATGCGCAGCCCGCTGACAGAGATGAAAAGATTCCGAGAAACACAGCCAATGGGCTGGAAACATTCCTGCAGGGATCAGTTACTTTTTGTAAGAGAACCTGTTCATTTTGTGTGGTACCCTCATCCCCACTGCCAGCCACTTAGGACATGATTAATTCATCTGGAGACTTCCCCAGACGTAGGTGACACCATCAGGAACAGTAGGGACGATGGCTCTATCGTGTGTAGCACCTCTGTACCTTTGATGTTCCTCCTAATCACTTATATATTCTGGAGAGGCAAGGTTCCCACCCACCCGAGTGCAGAAAGGTAATAAATGAGGAAAGTCAATGGTCTGTAAATTACAACATTGATTAAAGATGTGATTAGTGATAGACTCTATGCTTGGCTATTATGCTAATATGTTCCCCGATCTGGGACACTGTTTCCATGCTAATGATAAGTCTGGGACAATGGCTGAAATTGCTTCTCGTCCTCACACAGTGTGGAAACTGTTTTAAACCACTCTTGACCGGTGAATGAAAAGACCCCTTCCTGTGGCCCCTCCCAACTGCTCCATGCCAGTCCCCAGCAGATGGAGAGAATTCTCTCTGCCCAACCCTCACCATCTGCCCTGCAAACAGAAGAGATGAAAGTGGGGCCCAGAGTAGCCATACATGGTCCTTCTGCAGAAAGAACAGGGGGGACTGTCACAACAGCTATTGCTCCACACAGGGTGTTATTTGGTCAGGTCCAGATACCCAGGTGGGGCTCTGCTCATCCAGAGGACACTGTCCAGTAGGAGACAGATATGCAAATGACAGCTAGAGTGCAGTGTGGTGCCATGTGGCTCACATCATTAGCTTGGAAATGGTTGGCAAACTGCACATGTGTGGGTCTTGCCAGTACAAATCATCTCTAAGTAGATTCTCATTGGAGTCAGTGGACCTAGAAAGGTTAAGAATTTGCTGGAAATTTTCAGATTAAATTCTTGTATATGTGCCACAGTTGCTTCCATCTCATTTTAGGGTCTCGCTCTTTCCCCTCAATTGTCTTGGCTGTCTTGAAGCAGGTGTGCCCATAAAAGGGTAATGTTTGTTCTTCCATCCATCCACCTATATATCTGTCTACCTATCTATCTGTTCATCCTTCCAGCCACCTGTCCAGTTATTTTTATCTTTCTGTCTATTCATCTATTATCTCATCTTCATTCTTTTGTCTTTCTCTATATCCCCACCCTTCCATCTATTCATTCATACACATTTCTACCTCCATCCTTCAAGTCATTTGTCCAACCAACAGGCTATTAGTCCATACATACATATATTTGCTCCTCTATTTACCCATCAATCCACCTGTACATCTACCTACCCATCCATCTATCCTTCCATCCATCCATCCACCTAGCCATCTACCCATCTATCCTTCTCTCCATCTACCTAGTCAAAAACCCATACATCTTCCAATCCTTCCACCCAAATCCACCTATCTAACTAAGCAGCCATCCATCCATCCATCCATCCATCCATCAATCCATCTTTCCATCTGTCCTTTTCATCTGTCCCTCTACTTATTCATCCATCATCCCATTTGTCCATCAACCTACCCACGCACCTACCCATTCTTCCATCCACTCCCCCACCAACCCACCCATCCATCCATCCATCCACCCCCACCCATCCTCTCATTTATCCACCTATCCACCTGTCTATCGATCATCAGTTCATCTACTCTATCTATCTATCTATCTATCTATCTATCTATCTATCTATCTGTCCATGTGTTCCTCTATCCCCCTAATCATTGCCAACTCTGCTGAGCCTCCACCTCAGGAGCAGCTGCCATAAGGGCCAAATAATGGAAAATGAGCATAATGTACTTTTTCCATCATGAATGTAACAGTTTTTTCAATGGAGCCAATTTAAATCATATCCCACAAGCTTGGCTGTGTAAGATGAGTCAAGCTGGCTCTCTATAACTCAACTTGGTTTCTATTTTCAGTTCATTAGAATGGCACAGATAGAACTTTGGTTTGATTGCCAGGGGATTTAACTATTACTTGGGTACTGGGGGAGGGGACAGCTGGTCTAATCTTCTTCTTATGGCTCCCAGAGATGTCCATTATCAGTCACATGCACATAGCCACTGACCTTGGCACTCATTATTCCTGCCTCAAAGGATAGGTGTGTCTGCTGCCTCCTCACTTCACTGGGCTTCATTGAAGATATGAAATGGAGTGTGGCTGTAGAACGTGCATGAATGCATCATTGCCTTTGGAGCACAAGGCCAGGTTGCTATCCTTGTTTTCTCTGCCTTTTTCTTTTCTTCTTTGGACCAAGGCTTCTAAAAGCAGAAATGGAAGGAAAGGGGAGGGAAGGCAAAGGAAGGAGAGGACAGGGACCCAGGGAGAAGGAAGGGGAAGAGAAAAGGTGAGGACTCAGGGAAAAGCAGGAAGTCATCCATAGTATCCCACCACTCTCATGAGAGCAGTGGTAGAACACATATAAAGATCCCAGAGGTTCTGGGTGGAGTAGCATCCCAGGGACTCTTGGCATTCTCAGCCCAGGCAAACTAGGGTGGACGTGTGTCCCTAGAAAAAAAACTGAGAACCATAGATGACTGATGTGGCTGTGTGATTAGGGGAGGGGTACAGAGACTATGAGAAGGCATGGCGGGAAAGGTGCCAGACCCCTTGGCATTCTTGGAGGCTGGGCCCTAGGGGACTGGAGCTGTTTACCTTCTGAGCAGACAACATGCTCCTGGTAGCCACCACAGGCCCAGTGCACACCCAGGTTTCAGCCTCAGCTACAGTTCTCAGAAGATTCAAGTTTACTTGGAGCTTGGAAGTTCTTACCTCAATTTGTTCTCTGCTTTCTTTCCCAGCAAAGGCACCCTCAGCCTGGGAGCTGGGAACTGGAAAATACTGTGCTTCTTACCTATGAGATGGGCAATTCTGGGTGAGGCATCCGGTAGCAGCAGGTGCATCTTTTCCCTGGTTTCTCTCTTCCTCTGCATACCCGGGTCTGCTTCTTCACTCTCGTTCCCTAGGTTCAGTTTCTCATTAAGCCAATGCCACTGAATCCTTGTCTTGGACTCTGTACCGGAAGCAAGTGCACTTTGCAATAAAGTAGAACAAATGGGAGGCAGAGCAGATGCTCAGTCTATAAAGTGCTCACCGAGAAAGAATGAGGACCTGAGTTTAGATTCCCCACATCCTTATAAAAACTAGGCATGGTGGCACAAGCCTGTAATCCCAGCACTACAAGAGGACACACAGGCTTGCTGGCCAGGCGACCTAGCTGAATCAATGAGTTCTGGCTCGAGAGACTCTGTCTACAAAAGTAAGATGGAAAGTGATACTGGAGATACCCAACATCGACTTTTGGCTTTTGTGCACACACACACACACACACACACACACACACCATGCTAATAAAAACAAACTGAATGTGGACTGTCAGCACAGCCATGTGACCTCCATCCTCTCTCTCTCTCTGTCTTCACAGGTGTCAGATCACTGTGACTATGTCTTTGTCAATGGCAAAGAGATCAAGGGCAAGGTGGACTCTGTGGTAAATTTCACCTACCAGCACCTGAGCGCACCCCTGCACATCACTGTGTGGGTTCCACGGCTTCCCCTGCAAATCGAGGTCTCTGACACAGAACTCAGCCAGATTAAGGGCTGGCGGGTTCCTATCGTGGCCAGCAAGAGGTGAGCCAGGGGTGGGAAGATGCCACCAACCCCAACAACACCAACTTGATTCACAGATCCCACTGAAGAGACCCAGGCAGGACCCAGGATGCAGTAGAAGCTGGTGTTCCTATGGCCCAGATCTCCCTGACAGCATACTGTTTGGAGGCCACAGCCCCACATCCACTGGCTATGTCCACACATGGCTGAGGGGCAGGTCTTGAACCCAAGTTGTACTCATATACATGGAAGTCTGTATCCATTGTGTAGAAATGACTCCTTTACAACAGTAGACTGCTGGCTCTTCCGGCCCCTCAACCCCCAGTGGGCAGGGGTGGCTTCAGTTTTTCAAGTTAAATGGAGACTTGATCTTCATTCTCCATGATGACCGCATTTCATGTGAGACCGTGATTATGTTCACACTGGTGCAGGGGCTTCCTATTGCAGAAAGCCACAGACAGTTCTGTGTGACCCTGGGTTGTCACAGACAGGACTTTGGATCAGTTTTCCCTGAATGAGCACATCTCAGCTGAGGGAGGATTGCTTGTACTTTTCTGTCACAAACTGTCAGGTGGTTTGGTTCCCAGAAAGCCCCCCAGGATCCCTTCATTTTGAAGAACAAGTTAGCATACTTGAGGAAAAGTAACTGGTGTCCTAAGGGGATAATTCAGTAAAGTGCTTGCTGTGAAAACAGGAGAACCTGAGATCCATCTATAGAACCTACATTTAAAAAAAAAAATGCTGGGGCTGGGCAGTGGTGGTGCATGCCTTTAATCCCAGCACTTGGAAGGCACAGTCAGGTGGATCTCTGTGAGTTCAAGGCCAGCCTGGCTGCAAAGTGAGTTCCAGGACAGCCAGGACTGTTATACACAGAAACCCCATCTCAAAAAACAAAAAACAAAAAACAAAAAACAAAAACAACAAAAAAAAAAACTGCTGGACATGGTGGCACAAGCTTGTAATTCAGTGAGGGTGGGGATGGGGAAAGGGATGGGGCTTTAATGCCTAATCCATGAGTGAGTTCTAGATCTATAAAAGACCTTGCCTTAAAAGAAGCAGACAATGTGTCTGAGGGTGACATTTGATGTTGTCATTTGGTTCCACACGCATATACATGCCCATGCACACACACACACACACACACACACACACACACACACACACACACACACACGCCTGAAAAATAAAAACAAATTGACTAGTGGCTGCTTATGGGGCCATGTGAGCTTACGAAAGGCCAGCTGTCCTTCATTTGCCAGGCAATGCACCCAAGCCTCTGCACTGCCCAGAAATGGATCCTAGGCTCCCGGGGCAGGCTGAGACCCCCATCCTGAGCATTGTCTTCTGAGGTTGAGGCACACACCTGCCACCTTGTGATGCTCTGTGCTTCTCTACATGTCTGACAGCATCTTTCCTCCCACACAGGCCCACTCGGGACAGTGAAGAAGAAGAAGAGGAAGAGCAGAGAGGCCGGGGTTGTGCCCTGCAGTTCCAGCATGCCACGGTGCGCGTCCTCACCCAGTTTGTGTCGGAGGGTGCTGGGCCCTGGGGCCAGCTGAGTCACCTCCTCAGTCCAGACTGGCAATTTGACATCACCCACCTGGTGGCTGACTTCATGAAGCTGGAGTCCCCGCACATAGCCACCCTGCAGGACAGCAGGGTCCTGGTTGGGCGGGAAGTTGGGATGACCACCATCCAGGTAGGAAGCAGGGACTCAGGGGCTCTGTGTCCTTGGCCTGTACCATTCTTCCTGGAACTAGGGGTTCCCTGGGGGTGAGGCAGGTCACTGTGACCAGTTCATTTTCTCCATGATGGCTCCAGAGGGTGACATGGGAACAGGAGTTGGACTTGTACCAGCCCTTCCATTTCCAGTCCCATTTCATCCACGGGAGCCCACCTCAAGGGCTGCACCCATATTCCTGCCAGCCCCACCTCCCACACAGTTCTCCACACTAGCTTCTATACCCTTGCATGAGACTTGCTCTGTATGTTCTGCTGCTGCAAATCCAAGGGGAAGCCTGGGTTTACCCACCTGTCTTCTCCACACTGTTATCTTGTGTATTCAATGAACTCTATATCATATCAATCAAAAGAATGTATAGGATGCTTGGTTCTGGACAGATGATGGACAGGGGTAGCTTTCCTCTACCCCTTAAGTCCCACCTGACTTTCACTACCCTTCTAGAATGTCATGGAGATTACTAATACCATGGTAAATGTTCCATCAATTCAACTGCCCATCTCCAGCCCAACCCTTCTGGGCTTGTGGGATAAGGAAGGGTGGTTTTCCACTGAGATGCAATGTGGTGATGGGAGGAAGGAGGGGGCAGTGATATACTTCTGTTATCCCCAGTTGATCCATAGATGCCTTAGAATTTGATTCATACTGTACCAAGTCAGTCTGCATGCAGCTCTTTATGCATCGAGCCACTTAACTAGGTTGTACACTGTACAAGTGGTCCGTTACCTAAACAGAAGGGGCCATTCCTTCTTAAAATGGAATGGGGTTTTGTGTTTATTTGCATTTACCAACAGAACTAAAGTTTTAGGGAAGGGCTGCACTGGCTGCTCACAAAAGCTCAGTGTGGAGACATTGATAGTGACAGAAGCCTGTGCCTCCTTGTGTTCTATGTTCAGTACCTCTAGCCTATCTAGGGTAGAGCAGGAAATCCAGGAGGGGTTCCTCTGCCTGGAAATGGGTGTGGTGGCTCTTCTGCACCCCATGGACCTCCTGCAATCTTTTCACAGGTGTTGTCCCCACTGTCCGACTCCATCTTGGCAGAGAAGACAGTAACCGTGCTGGATGACAAAGTGTCTGTGACAGACTTGGCTGTCCAGGTGGTGGCTGGGCTGTCTGTCACCTTGCACCCCATCACAGAGAACAACAAGGCCACCACAGCTGTGATCACAGCTGAGGAGTTGCTGCGTGCCCCAAAACAGGTAGGGGTTGAGATGGGGCAGGGAGGCCATGGGGCTGGCTCAACAGAGAGGAGAAGGAGATGTGTCCAGGTTCACAGTTACAGGGAACACAAGTGCTCAGCTCACACTTAAGCCTCTGGGACACAGGGAGAGATGTGTCCGTCCTGCAGTGGCTCCTGGGGAGAATATGGCTGACAGCATCCTCACACTCCTACTCTCTGCCTACTCTCATCCCTCTCCCTACTGCCACCCCTCACCCCACTGCCATAGCATCCCCACTCCTACATCCCCCTATTCCCATCCCTGACCCCACTCCCACAGCATTCTCCTACTCCCACCCCAATGCACTCTCCTGTGCTGAGGAAGCACTAGGCAGACCAGATCAACTCTAATGACCCCACATTCCTTCCAGGGCCCATACACCCCAGCAGGTGCAGTCCTGCCTTCTCTCTGTCCCTGGTTCACTGCCCCCAGCTCTCTGGAGGTCCTATGTGCTTCATATGCCCCCTCCTGCAAAGCTCTTCTGGGATTCTACCCTTGCAGTTCTGCTGGTCTGAGTTGTGTTCCCTTGGGCTCGCTCCCATTGAACACTGCCTTAGCTCCTTTCTAGCCATAGTTTCAACCCCTCTCTGTTCACTAATGCCATCCTTACAACCCTGTTGATCTCTGCCTCTTCTGCCACGTCCATTATGCATTTGCTATACTGCTGAAATTGCTATTAATGTGTACTCCACTCCTGTGTTTGCTTTTGACCTTATGGAAAGGGACTACGGGGTAACTTGCATGAGGGCCATGCTTTGCACAGCATGGTAGGCTCACAGCAACTACCATTGCAAGTAAGTGGAGGCTAGGAGCTGGTAGAAAGAGAGGAGGGAACATGGAGTCCCACACACTTCTGCACTGAAGATGATTCAGGAGAAGAGCTCCAGGAGGGCCCAACCTGGGTAGCCACAGGACTTCAGTCTTTGAGGGAACCACTTCAGCTCATGTTTAAGAATTAAACTAATATCAATTATCATGTGCTACAAAGACTGTCTCTGTCACCATTCCCTCCATGACTGACAGTAACTACCCATCATTGTTAAAAGCAGAGGCAGTGGGGACCTCAGGATACCACCAGGGCAGACCCCATGTTGGTTCAGGCACTTGGCATCAAAGCTGGCTCCCACAGGTGACACAGCTAGAGAAGTTGGCAGGCTGCAGTGAAGCTCCAATTAAACACCAGTGTGAGCAGGATATGCTAGGAGCTTGGCTTGCCATGGAGGAGATAGGCAACAGGCTCTAGACCTGACCAGGAAGCAATGGGGGCTACAGTCCTTCACATAGCATAATAGGAACAAAACAGTGTCCGTGGGAGTTGACATACTACTGAGACAGAACACAGTGACCATCAGAGGTGAAGGCAGAACAAAACCAGGGAGGTATGGTACTTCTAGGGAAAATCCAGAAAATCCCAGATGTCTTGCAGAATTTCATTACTAGCAGACACAGACCGCCTAATCCCCTGTCTATATGGCTGAGTAAGTGGTGCAAACAGGTAACACAGGCTATATGAAATCCACATGACCACATCATCCCTGCTGTGGGCTCCAAGAAGGACCCTGGGACGGTACTCAGCATACATGGGTGTATCAGCTAGCTGCTGCTGTGTAACAATCATGATTGCTTAACAACTCACTGCAACATTGTCCCAGTTCTGTGGAAGTTCATCTGGGCCCTGACTTCCAGGTGTCACAGTGCTGACTTCTTATTGAAGGAAGGATCTACTTTCAGGGGTGTTGTGATTGGGAGCAAAATCCTTGCTGTGGATGACTGAAGTCCCCATCTCTTGGTCAGTTATTATAATTGTTGGGGTACCTCTCTCAGGTCCTTGTGGCTGTCAGTTTCCTCTTCCCCTACTTCTCCACCTCCCTCACCCACAACATAGTCTGCCCCAGGCTCTGACACCCTCTTGACACCAACAGCATGAGTCAGTGACCCTAAAGGAAGCTGTAAATCCACATCCCCTGGCTAGGTAGTCCAGGAAGTTATCCCTGTCCCATAGACAATTGCACCAATGGACACAGATGAGAAGGGCATCCTTCACCCATGCCCAGCTTCTGGAAACTCTACCAAGATGTCGTTGAAAAGCCATCCTGAGCCAAGGGGTGCTGACATATGCCTTTAATTTTAACACTCTGGAGGCAGAGGCAGGCAGATCTCTGTGAGTTCCAGGACAGCCAGGTCTACACACAGAAACCTTGTCTCAAAAAACAAACAAAAAAGCCATCCTGCCCAGCACAGTAGACAGTTGCTGCCTCAATTTAGTCCCAAACATCAACTAGAGAGACTAAGAATATATTCCAGCCATATTCTGTCCACACTGGTGGCTCCTCTGCCCTTCTCCCTGAAGGCAGGAATTGCTGTGATGTGCTCTGGTTTGTAAAGGAGAGAATAAAAGATGGCAAGGTGGCTTGGTCAGCAGAACGTTTCCCTGGAAGCTTGAGCACCTGAATTCAGATCCCTAGAACCCACATAAAAAGCCAGGCACAGGGATACACAATTGTCATCCCAGCTTTGGGGAGATGGAGACAGTAGGATCCCAGGCTTATTGGTCAATAAATCTAGCTATATCAGCAAGCTTCAGGATTAGTGGGACCCTGTATCAAAATCTAAGGTGGAGAGCGATTGAGGAATACACTATCAACCTCTGACCTTCATACATACAAGAAAAGAGAAAAGTTGACAGTTAAAGGAACAGAGAAAAAAGTCAAAAGCCGGGAGCTCTTTGCTAAGAACAGGCCATGGAATAGAATGGACAGGCATTGTAGCCTCTGGGGTATAGGGTAAAGCCACCACCCACATCCAGCATGACCCATCTGTCTTCATCAACCAGCAGTAATTGGACGCCCAGCCCAGATGTAGGAGACTCGTAGATAGAGCATCTTCAATTTGCAGGCATGACTCTCTAAAGAAGCAGGGTCTAAATCACTGGTGACCATGTGTTATTTGAAGTCACTTGGCATTTGTCGTCTTAGGAGATACGTGTTGGATTCCCCAATGAAGTTCCCAGCCTTGCTGTAATGAGACGCTAGAAGGACCAGATCTCAATCACAAGGCAGAGCTGATGGAAATGGCTCTGACCAGCCTCAAGTTTCAATCCAACTGTCTGTCCTTCAAGCAGGGCTTAGTTTATATTAACTTACTTCTCCATCCAGGTGTGGGAAGAAAAATTAATTCAAGATGAAAAGCCAGCCACAATAAACAGCATTTATCTCAGCCCTAAGACAGTAAAGGCAGAGGCTTCTCTGTGTGTCATTAATAGCTTCCTTTCTGAAAATCCAGAAGAATATTAGCCTTACTTATTTTTAAGCTTGGGTAGAAGAAAAAATAAATGAGTTACCTGGGATTCTGGTAGGTGGTGTTAAGTATGAGACTGGGACTTATTAGGTGACACAGATGGAGCTCCACGTTTAGAAACCAAAGGCATAGGGCCACATTTTGTTCACTTCTGTTTCCCCACAAACTGAGGCTGAAGCAAGAACTTCTTGTTTATAAGAACAATGAAGGCCCCTCACAGGCAAAGCAGACAGTGTGCAAGGAAGGGAAGGCAGGTTCTATAGCTATGTCACCCACTCAGTCACTGATCAAGACAAGTTTGCCCACCAAGGCTGCTGGAGAGACCATGCCAGGCTGGAAAAGGTCAGGGATGTACCGCGCTCAGAGAAGGAGGTAGCTGGATTCAGTGTAACACTACCTATCCATTGTTCATCCAGGACTACCCCTGGTGGGTGTTAGTTCCTTGGTGTTTCTGGCTTTGTGCAAGAACTCAGGTTCTAAAGCTAGAGGATGCCTTTGAGCAAAGATGAATAAGATGAATACAAGATTGACTGTAGAAAGCTGAGCTCACAGCTGCTGAGTGGCAGGGTAATTGTTCCACACCATTGTGAGATTTCAAGTTAGTGCAGACTAACTCAAAAGCATAACTATTCCCCTTTACCCTCTTTGTCCTCATCTTTGGACAAAATCCTAAGCATGACCAGTCCTCACACTCTGAGCTTTCTCTCTCTCTCTCTTTTTTTTTCTGAAAGCTCACACCCCACTTATAGCTGCTTGCAGACTTCCATTGCTGATGCTAACCCAAAAGATAAGGGTCTCTTTCTCCCCCTTTTCTCTATCCCTCTTCCCAGCAGCTGCCAAGATTTACAACTTGCTTGTGCATTTGCCTCTCAGACACCAATAAAATGGCCCTTAGGCCTTAAAACTGGTTGGGGGTAGGGGTAAAGGCAGCAAATACAGTCCTCCTTACTCTACAGAGCTCTGCTCTAGGCTTTCTGCTCCAAATAGCAGAGACTCAGTCACAACTGACCTAATCAGAATGGAGCAGCCTGTGGGCAGGCACTCATGCCTTCAGGTAGAGCTAGATCCGGGTGTCCAAACAGCATTACCCAAAGTCTTCCTTTCATTCCTGCCATTTGCCTTCATGTTGGATGACAGTCAACATCATCTAGAATGTTCTTGAATGTTGCCATCCTCATTCAGATTTCCTCCTGAAACTTGTAGCTGGACCACTGACTGTTCTTGGTCTCCTTAATCCATCTCCATCTGCCTGTCTTGTCTTTTGTTTCTTCCTAGTCCTGAGGAAGCATGTTGGCTCTGTTGGCTCTCTCCTCAGACATGTCACCTCTGACGTACACAGCATCCCAAGTGATTTACTCACTTGCCTCAACCCCATTCTTTTCTTTGAGATTGGGGTCATATGTAGACAAAGCTGGCCTCCAACACTTGATCCTCCTGCCTCCACCTCCCAAGTCCAAAGACTGCCGGCTTCTGCCAACACACCCTGCTCACTTTTCCATTTCTAGAAATTCTGTGTAGGTCTCCACACATCTCTGTCCTTCCACGCTCACCTCTGCTACTAGTGTGGCTTCTGCTTTAATGTCTCCTTTGCCATTTTATTTCATTAGTGATTGGGTTTTTTTTTTTCTTGGTTTATTTTAATTCAGTCTTTTCCAGTTGTTCCTGGAACATTAACCTGATAATCTTGGTTTTTAAATTAGTAGTAGTAGTAGAGTGTGGGGGGGTGTTTATGTGAGTGCACGTACATACCACAGTGAATGTGTAGAATTCAGAGGACATATTTAAGGGATCTGTTCTCTCTCCTTTCACCTTGACGTGGGTTTTTGAGATTGAACTCGCTGCCAGGCTTGCACAGCCAGTGATTTGAACCACTGAGTCTTCCCACAGACCTCCTGTGTGTGTGTGTGTGTGTGTGTGTGTGTGTGTGTGTGTGTG